CTGCCATGCAGGAACTCCCAATCAAAGCATCCCTGACAGATGGCTATCACACACACACACACACACCCCAAACTCACTATTTGCAGCCACCTTTCATTTTGTGAGTTCTTGCCTGTGTGCACGAATGAGCATCTTTGTGTGAATGGCAATTCCCTTGATTCATAAATAAAACTATACTTGCATCTTGCACTCTGGAGTTCCATTTCTTGGAACTGATATACACAGGCTTGGTCCCTGCTTAGAGTTGCCCAAGCCCTCTCCTCTCATCGACCTTTAATTAAGCTGATAAAATGTCCCTATTAAATATGGATTGTAGTGCCCTCCTGGGACCCTGGTGTTTGGGTAACAGGTTCAAGAGTCCCGGGAGGGATGCATGATTCCTATCACTATTATAAAATGGCGCTTCAACAGATGCAGCAGGTACTTGGCAGCAAGGAAAGGCCGTCTCCTGGGCTTCTGTGGTCATCCCACCCCGAAAGGAAGGAAGGAAGGAAGGAAGGAAGGAAGGAAGGAAGGCGTCTTGGGCACATGTGGGCACTCCCCAATCCCAAGGCAAGGTTAAGGGAGGGGTGTATGCCAGAGGTTTATACACAGAAACCCATTAGTAGGTGTGCTTACCTGAAATCTAATATTGTGACTGGAACCCATGACCAGTCCTCCTGCAAACAAAGACCAAGCTCATCTGCTCTGTGCCTTCAGGTTGACTCCAATGCACAGCAACCCTCTCCTAAGGTCTTTTTTTGGCCAGATTTATTCAGAAGAGGTTTGCCATGGCCTTCCTCTAAGGCTGCTGAGAGAGTGTGACTTGCACCCAAGGTCACCCAGTAGGTTTCCATGGCTGAGCAGGGATTTGAATCCTGGTCTCCAAGAGAGAGCCAGCGTGGCGTAGTGGTTTGAGCATTGGACTACAACTCTGGAGGCCAGGGTTCGAATCCCACCTCGGCCATAAGACCCATTGGGTGACCTTGGCCAAGCCACATCCTCTCAGCCTCTGGGGAAGGCAACAGCAAACCTCCTCTGAACAAATCATGCCAAGAAAAACCCCAATAAAGGGTCTCCATAAGTCGGAAGTCACTTGAAGGCACACAACAACAACAATTACACCTCAGTGGCTTTATTTTTTGGCCAGATTTATTCTGGGAAGGTTTGCCACTGCCACTGCCTTCCTCTTAGGCTGAGAGTGTGTGATTTGCCCCAGTTCTCCCAGTGATTCCAGGGCTGATCCTGGTCTCCTGGTATCCTAGTCCAAGACTTAAAATTTCTCCTTCAGGTCAACTCCATTTAATGACTTCTCTCTCCAAGAGTTTTCTTGGCAAGAAGTCTGCAGAGGCGTGCCGCCATTGCCTTCCTATGAGGCTGAGAGGGTATGACTTCCCCAAGGTCACCTAATGGGTTTCTATGGCCCACTCAGACCGTCTCCCAGAGTCTCCCTTGTTCAACACCATTACACCCCACTGCCTCTCCTAGGGCTTTCCGGGCAAGATTTCTTCACAAGAGGGTTGATGCAGTCTTCCTTGTGGTCTCTTCCATGGTCTCTATGATTCTGTGATTCCTCTGAGGCTGAGAGAGTGTGGCTTGGCCAACATTACCCATTCGGTTTTCATGGCCATATGGGGATTTGGACCTTGGTCCACGACTCAGACTAAAATACTACCATTGCATAGGGTTTGGGTCCAGATTACCTATGGCAGGGGTAGGCAACCTGTCCCCTTTAAGGGCCGAGGGACTTCAGCTCCCAGAATCCCAGGAGCTATTGGCCAACATAGGACTATTGGTCAACTTGGCTGAGGCTTCTGGGAGCTGAAGTCCCTCGGCCCTTAAAGGGGAAAGGTTACCTACCCCTGACCTATGAAAAACTTTGGTCCTCCAGAAGCTTTGGACTTCAGCTCCCAAAATTCCTTACTGTTGGCCAAACCAAAACAGCTGGAGGATCAAAGTTTGGGAACCAATGGCCTATGGGATCGCCTCCTTCCATATAATCCGCCCCATACATCCTCTGGGGATGACTGACTTTAACTGGCCAGGACTAGCAACTAGCAACCAGAGGTCATTTTCATCAGCCATCCCCAAATTGTGGAATGATCTGCCAGGCAAGGTTCAATATACTGTCCGAATTTAACATGCTATTACAGACTATCTCTTCCAGCAGGCCCACCCAGTCCATGTTGAACTATGAATGTTAAATCAATGTATTTTCACTCGGATGACTTTTAATGCCATTTTAATCCTCTGTCCATGTGTTTTATGTACTTAATAGTCAGCTACGCAGTCAGCCCTCTGTACAACCCATGGATTTCTTTATCCACAGATTCAAGCATCCATGGCTTGAAAATATTCAAAAATATATAGGAATTCAAAAAAGCAAGCCTTGATTTTGCCACTTTATATAAGGGTCACCATTTTACTATGCCATTGTATTTAATGGGACTTGAACATCCATGGATTTTGGTATGCACAGGGGCAGTCCTGGAACCAAATCCTAATGGAGACTGAGGGTCCACTGCATTTTATTGTATTTTAATTGTCTATGTTTTACCTTGCCTTGAGCCTAACATTCATCATCATCATCATCATCATCATCTCACACTGGATTGCCAAGCTCAACACATTTGATTTAATCTTTTATGCTTTTTCTCATTCCCTGTTAGGGCAAAAATTGACCGTTTCTTGCGAAGGTTACTCGGCTTTTCCGAATAGCGGCATCATCTACTGGCTGGCGAATGGGACTTTTGTGGACGACTTTTACTCGGAGGACGCCGTGAGCGAGGAGCGCACCCTGTGAGTAAACGCTTTTCCGATTGTACCTACCCTTCCTCCTCTCCACAATTCTTCATTTGAAATATCTGTTAAACTCTTCCAGGGAAGGATGCACAGTATTTAAACATTCAGCCCAGGGCTCTGGCCTAAAGCAGTCTGCCTGACTGGACTGCAGCTCCCATCATCCCTCACCGCTAGCTAGGATGGCCAAGGATGAGGAGAGGTGCAGTCCAAGAACACGGAGGCAAGGATCACACAAGAGCCACCCCTCCGCTGGAATAAAATAATTTAAGCAGGGCTGGGTATTATTTTGTAATGACATCCTATCATAGGGTCCTATCAGACCTATCATGGGGTTTTCTTGGCAAGGTTTGTTCAGAGGAGGTATGCTATTGCCTTCTCTTGAGGCTGAGAGTGTGTGACCTGCCCAAGGTCACCCAGTGGGTTTCTATGGGCACTGGGATTCAAACCCAGGTCTCCTAGTGTAGCGCCCAAACCACTATGCCACACTGCCCTTCCTTACAAATGTACAATAAAGATAGAAAATGGCTTTTCCTTTTACATAATATATATCTTAATTTATGTATGTCTTTTACACTTCAATAATAATAATAATAATAATAATTCAAGATTACAATTGTTTCTTCTTAAGTAAACCTTTTCCCTTTATCTCATACTTCCTCCTGGTATAATTGATAATTTATTTTAAACACCAAGGCTCACCAAAATTTGGATACATGAACAGATTTCCTATATATTTAAATAATGAAGTAGACCTATTTCTTTTGTAATTCTTCTCAATACATTCCAGACATCTAAACCTTAAAATACTGCTCCTTTCTAACCATGTTCTCTTTATTCCTCTAGTATAATTACATTATTTTTCCTTATAGACTTGGGTGTGAGCTACTTAAATCTCAAAACCATGATTTAACTCCTCAGTTTTCTTTAGTTACCAGACAGATAACTAATATGCATCTTCTTCAATCTATGTGCCATACTTTCTTACATTTCTCTCTCCAATATTCAGCAACTGGCTTCCTAAATGTCTTATTTATTTATTTTGAAAAAAGGCTTTTAGCCTTTAAGTAGTTGGGCAATTTAAATATTAAAATATATAGTCGGTCCTCTGTACAACCCATGGATTCTTTATCCACGGATTCAACCTTCCACGGCTTGAAAACATTTTTTAAAAGTATGAATTCCAAACAGAAAACCTTGTTTTTGCCATTTTATGTAAGGGACACCATTTCACTATCTTACTGTATTTATTTTAATGGGAGTGGAGCATCCTTGGATTTTGGCATCCATGGGGAGCCCTGGAACCAAACCCCAACGGCTAACAAGGGCCCACTCTAGTAGGTATTTAATGTGTTTTTCGTGTGTTTTTAAATGAGCGTTTTTAAATCGGTTCCTGCTTTCCACCTCCAACCCATTTTCCGTCCACCTTCCTTCCTTCCTTCCTTCCTTCCTTCCTTCCTTTCTTGCAGAGAGAGGTCCAAGGGCAATGGCCTTTCCCTGAAACGGGACCTGGTCTTCTTTTCCTTCACGCCAAAGGACTTGCACACAACATTTGAATGCATCGTCCTGGACCCATCTGGCGTGGCCCGGAAGGCCCTCACCTGGGAGACCCCGGACCCGGGTGCGAGTGGGGACGCAGAGCCAGGCACGGCCAGGTGAGGAGGAGCCACCCAAATGGAGGGCATCGAACTTTGGCCATGTCACAATGAGAAGGCACAAGTCACTCAAAAAGGCACTGGAATCATAGAGTTAGGAGAGGGCCATCCAGTCAAACCTCCTTCTGCCATGCAGGAACTCACAATCAAAGCGCCCCCAAGAGATGACCATCCAGCCTGTGTTTAAAAAGAGCCTCCAAAGGAGACTCCACTAAAATCTCCATCTTCCACTCTCAAATAGCTCTTATCATCAGGAAGTTCTTCCTAATGTTGAGGTGGAATCTCTTCTCCTGCAGCTTGCATCCATTGATGCTCCACTGTGTCCTGTTCTCTGGAGCAGCAG